GACACAGTTACTTAAATATATCAATGTAATAATTGCTTTTAATTATGGCTAGTAAGACAAATTCAATATTGTCTACTAAGCACTACCGTATCTAAACTGTGTCACCCCACCTTACTTTTTCCTATTGTCGTACAAAATATAAGATGAATATTTTTGTGTACATTTTGTTAGTCTATTATCATCTGTAATATACATCATCTCAACCTCGTATTATTACCCCGCAACATTATACATATATACGATATATAAAAGAGAGAAACTGAATCTAAATCTGATAAATCAGATTAATACTTATTTATTAATTTCAGTAAGTTAAAAGTAATAATGTCTAGGAGTGTGTTTACTTCGCAATCACGCCCTCTAGGCCACTTTGATTGACTTCAAATGCCAAGGGACTCTCTGAGGTCACATTAACATATAAACGATCGACAAACAACCCAACAAAATATGTATAGCTGAACAATATTTTGTTTCCGAACGAAAATCTTGCGATGGGAAATGCCGAATGGTATTAGAAACAGTGCGAACGGCTTTCTTTATAAAAACAAAGAACTTTTATACGTCCAATCGAATGGCTTCCTGTATACGAAACTGAGTGCCTTTGAATACTAACTCTGCTTGTTTGTAAGTCCGAACAAAGCCAATCTCCTCAGATTTCTATGCAAAAGACTCCCCTTGAACAAAATATTATGTCGTGTATTGTTGCTTTGTACTTATGGAAATTTCATGTCGCTCGTCACTGGTGAACGAATACCAAACAGCCAATTTAGGATTTTTGTCCTTTTTAATAATGTTCCATTACAACACCATGGAGTTCTTCAATTTTTCTGCCTCTTCTGGGAAGAATTTGGGTTTTTAGAATGCTGTGTCAGAGATAATAATCACCGATATAGAATTCACACATCGACAGCTACTCTCAAAATAAATAGAGATACCAATATTTTGCGTACTGATATAAATAACTGATACTGAATTATATTTTTGTAAATATAATAATAGAAAATACAAATAACTATAGTAATCAATAATAATCTTAAATATTAATAAAAATTGAATAATATTTTTTTATATATACATAAGATGGAAGACCGATGTCTTAAATAACCATAGAACTGAGACCGCCTATGATAATAATATTTTTTTTTTAATTCGCTCAAAAACACAGTATAAATATGATGATTTAGAGATAAGAGCATGTGCTTTGCCACAATTAACAATGGCAATAGAAATATATTCAAAATAACTATAATTTCTAGCGACCTACTTTATTCTTATAAGAATACTAACATCCAATATAATATCAATTAATAAAATATTACACATCCCAAATCAACTGCGTAATTTTTTTTTCCTTTTCATATTACACGGTTCTCATATTTTGTAATATTTATTATCAAGAAGTAAATACGCACCTCTTGAAAATCGGCAATTAAAAGAACAACACATTCTTTGATATCAATATATCGTATGAACTAAGATAGGCGTGGTTAGTACTTATTATAGAACATTCTACTTTATTGATACCCACGTATCAATCAGACGGTACTATCGAGTCGACAATCGTGATTCATTAGACTCCGCTCCGATATCTTCGGGGGAATTGCCAATCGCTTTGAGATATTAACAGTATTAACACTCTGGTTTCCGAAGTTTTAGCAATGATTGCTTTTACCTAACATCATCTTAAATACTCGAGTGCCATTTAAATTTGATGGAACAATAATTTTATGGATATCAGCTCAAAATGTTATAGCGACTATGTATATATAAAATCAAAATAATATAATAATAATAATCTTAGGACAATTCACACAGCGGCATCTAGTCCCAAGTTAAGCTAGTTAAAGCTTGTATTATGGATACTAGATAACTGATATAAATACATTTACAGATATTTTTTTTCGTAAAATAAATCATACTCAGGGATGCAAATGTTTGTGTTGTACGAGGAATCGAACCAGCGACCATCTGAAGTAAGGCCGTGTGCAAAACCGCTAGATCACCGAGGCAGTCTTCAATACAATATATCCAAAGGTAAGTATATCGAGTTGTTTAAAGCAGATATGAAATATATTTGGAAATTTCTTCCATTTTGTATAATAAGAATATCTAGTGTTTAATGAAATGAAAATATATCAAAGTCAGTTACAGACAATGTTCAGTTCGGAATGTAGGTGTAGTTTGAGCTTACTAGAACCCACAAGAAATACTGTACTGACAAGAGTACTTATGAAAGTCTACTGTCAGGTGCGAATACAGTCATAGCAAGTGTTCTTATTAGCCCTTATTTTATACATACAAAAAGTAATAGCTATTTCGCTTGGTTAAGTTATAACTTAATCGATTCCTTCATTGTTTTTTTATTATTTTCTCATAATTTATGGAAGATTCATAGGATAGAGAATTTTTAAAATTTTGTCAGTAAATGCAAAATTTCAGAAACTTATCGACTCACTGAATGTGCGTTTGACAGGTTTCTAACACAGGACGACGTCAGTCATGTCCGCTAGTCTAAAATATATGTTTAAAATACATATAGCATGGAAAAGAGGATTGTTAGTAATGTGGACTGTTAACTCCATTGCTAGCAACGTTCCATATCAGCTTGACCTTCATATTTTACCCCTGGAAACCATGATGAAAATTTCTTGTGAGTATGAGAGGATGTTCATCTTGTCATTCTCCATTGGAGCCCCTCCAGTGTATACCTTAGCGCAGGCGGGTGCACCATTCCATTATCATCCATTAAATATATATAAGAAAAGATTACAAAAAAAATAATGAATAGCTGCCACACCATGCCAAGCTGCAGGGTGTGCGACGTCGCAGTTCCGACACTATCTCGACACAGATAAATGTGTGAGCCGTTCTTTTCTGTGTCACGACTTGTGAATTTTTGTCCACTATAACAAATACTGCAGGAATTCTTTTGTTTATTTTATTTCATATATCATAACACAAAAACATTTCCTTTCAATTTTCAATTCTCCTAAGTAGTAGTTAATTATCTACAAATTAAAATTATGTATAGGAAAAAAGTAATAATGTAACTCACTACTACTAACCAATTTTGGCGAATAACTAATAACATGGGCTACGTATGTTAACGGCCTCGGTGGTCTATTGGTTTAGCAAACTGCCATACATCCGATAAAGTTCGATTACCCGCCCAGTACGTATACATTTGTATAAAGTATATTTGTTTGTCTCATACACAGAAATATACTGAGTGTTTTGTGTCTAAGTATATCCTATAATAAAAACTCTGTCTATCTTGAGATATATTTATTTAGTTATAATTTTCTTATTTTTACAGCATTTTAATAAAAGCTTGTTGAACTGTTAATTTATTCTCGCGATGGAGTCACAATGATAAAATTATATTCAAATTCGTATATTTTTTGGAGATCAATATATTCTTAAGTACAGTTTAAGATTATGTTTTGTTTTCTAAAACTTATTATCAAATTAATTTCTTCTGAACTGTTACCACATCTATCAATTTCATATGAATTTGTTATATTGGACGACAGATACACTAGAATATTATTTTATCTGTGCTATAGCCATAAAGTAGGTACGTTAGACTGGACTACAAGAATGGAGATCAAAAATGAAACATTAAAAAAGTTTTAATGGAAATAGAAAATACATTCAAGTTGTAGGAATGAACTGTAGTGCACTAGAAATTGAAGCGGCGAAATGGTTGAAGTTTTCTAGACGTCACAAAATGTCTTTATGACTCCCGGAGACATCGTAAATTGATATTTATTCTGAATCTTCCCTGTCGCAGTACTCTCAGTTGGAGACTGGAGTCGCTTTCAAATAAATGTTGGTAATTTTTTAATAAAACTAGCCATTCACCGTGGGTTTTCGCGCGTGAATCTGGTATTATTTTTGTTCGTATAAGAATTTCTGGATTTGTTTGAAGTTATCAATTTAATTTTAAACTTTTCAATATACAGTATATTCGTCTTAATCTAATTTGTAGTTAAACCTACTCAAAATTCTGAAGAGTAACAAAGACATGATAGTTAACGAATTCTATTTATTAAAAAGAAACATAATGTGTTCAAATCATATCAAATATTATTTATTCATGTAAAACATTTTAGCCGCCTATGAACGTCGACTTCAAGTCAAATTCTGTATTTTTTTTCTTACTAAATTGAAACAATTTACAATAGGTACGTAGCAGGGTTTATTTCAAACTAAATGACATACACTGCGTATTATAAAATATAGCGCAATAATAAAATGTGGAAAAATATTTTTCAATACACAATCTAGACTGAAGTTTACATCTGCCAATAACTTGAGTTTTCAATAACAGTATCTGTGGAAGGAATGAGATTTTTATAGAACTAGTAATAAATTCGAATCTAGGACATGACAGTGCAATATAATATGTATTTCTGACCACAGTAATATTTGGTTATATATACTTTGATTTATTTTCTTCATACTTTATTATGAACGAGAAAAAGAAGTTATTTGTACTGATGTGGGAATAAAATAATAATTATTAAAGTGTACTTTAATTTATTATTATAAATAGTTATATAACTATAAGTAGCTCTAGATAATCTACTATTTACATTTCTAATATTTTTTCCATTTTTTTCTCAATCAGTACTCGTAAAATTTACTTTTTCTGGACCTAAAAGTTATCAATTTTGTAAGGCGTTGCTTAACTTAATATTAAGGGATCAGCATAAGAATAGTTGCTGATTACTAGATCATAAAGTAAGTTAAAAACTAGTCGATGGATATAAGGTAGGTTTTCAAATATATATTATTAATTGATAATATAATAAATTCCATTAAATTAATAATAATGGTAATCCTGCAACGATTTGTGAAATTCTTTTACTGTTTAAAGGGCATATTATACCAGAGTAACAATATATTATGTTAATACATAATAAACTCAAAAGTTACAAACGCCCTGGAAAAATCAAGTGGGCCCTTATTTCGAAAATAATGATTTAATTTTTTACCTGTAATCATCTGGCTCGCAGTAGTCAGTAGCTTTACATCGTTGTCAGCATCTTGTGTCTCCAGTCTGACGGTAACATTCAAGGGATCCAGTTCATCACCAGCTCGTCCATGCAGTGTAACAAGTACAGCTGTAGTCTTTCCAGGTACTGCTACTTCCGGTGCTACGACCGAGAAACCACTGTAACAAAATTATAATAGGTCGTTAAGAATTATCAAAGATTGGAAATTAATAACAGGATCTTACTACGGTGGTCCAGCCGTTTAATATATCATCTTACTTCTAATGGTCGGTTGCTCGGTTCTCCTACGAAACGTACATTTGTATTCATGAGTATGTATTATTATTTGTATTGATCTGAATGTCTTATATGTCCTTTATTAATTTATTTAGAAAAACAATATCATCATATTTCTATCAGTTGTTTACTGGTCATAATACAAGCTCTCAGTTTGGAGCTGGTTTGAGTTATGTAAATTTTACTGATTTATTATTATTACTAACTGACGCCCGCGACTTTCCCCGTCTGGTATTTATTATTTTTTCAATTAACATTTTTGACCTCCTTATTTGTATTTTTGGGGTCCTGGTATTTCGCCATTATTACAACTGAAGAGCAGGTAGATAGGTAAAAACAAATATTTATCTACCTTCACACGTTTTCATTCGTTCTTACTACTAAAACTCCCTCGATACTCACGTCTCGAATAAAACCTAGTAAAATATCGTCATTTATATATATATATATAGACTATCTATACTATTATTATAAAGACAGAGAGAGGCATTTGTTATGAGAAAACTCCGGAATCATTGCACCGATTTAAGAAATTCTTTCACTGTTTGATATATTATTCCTGTATGATATTATGTTAATATATACAAAAGTTATAAAGTTATGATATATCTTAATGAATGTATGATTCTTACAGGAAGAACGTGTAGAAAAAATAGCTGTATTTTATATATATAGAGCTACCTTCCCGCCCCTTTTTTCCAGGGGTATACTTGTATTATACATATAAACCTTCCTCTTGAATTTTATACTATGAAAAGGTTACTTGTATTCTTTCCTAAACGGAGACACATTTCATGTTTGTATTTTCTCAACTATGTTAAATTTAATAGAAAATGCCAAATCTTTCAATACAAAAGTGTATCGACGAATACGTCGAACTTTGAAGGATTCTCTTGAAGCACGCCAGCTGCAGTGCGACAAATCGTGTGGACACGTTTAAATTATTATATTTTCCTTGTATGTGTACCGAATACAGAATTTGTTTAACAAGAACGTTCGTGTTTTCAGTTTGAAAACGTCAAAGATTTCAATTGAGTGAACTGTTTCCAATGTATGGTTGTTCATTTTAACAGGTTTTTTATAGCACAGGGGACAAATGAGACTGCGGCTCATTTGATGGTAAGTGATTACCGCCAGTGAGTCTCCGCAGCAGTAGGGTGTTGAAAGTGCATTGCCGGCCTCTTAAGAAGGTATAAGCTCTTTTCTTGAAGGTTTCAGTATCGCATCGGTTTCCAGAACGCTAATATAGTTTTTTATTGAATTGGTTATTATTATGCCGAAGTTAATTTCTTTAATGACTATCAGTCAGAATAGTAAAAACGTACCTAGATAGAACATTGTCACAATTATAAGAAGTATTACTGTTCAATTTTGCTGATTGGTTTGTAAATAAAATGAAGTAAGACAAAACAGTTGAAACATAAGTTCTTTGTTTTACAATCTAGACTCAGTTACTATTGTATTACAATAACATTTTCTCCAGTGCCTAAAGCCATTTGTAAATTACTATTAAAAAGACTAGGGATCTGTAATACCCGATACGAGTTAGTTACAAGAAAGACGCGAAGTTACTGAAGTATTGAATACATACTATTTTATTATAAAGATAATATTTTCTGTCCTTCATATTATATTAAGTTTCTTTAGAGAAGAAGCCATATTTTATAAAGCTATGTACTACTTCATGGCAAGAGTGTCGATCAACTAAAATCGCAGTATTGTCGCCGAACAGTTAATACCAGATTTCCAAGCTATATCCGAGATCTATTTAATACCAGATGATACCTCGTTTAGAGGCGAAATAGAAAAGAATACTTAATAAGAGTCATAATTTGATCAACAATAGAGAAGGTCGAAGGCAAGAGGTCTCTTCCAGTAGCGGCAGTCAGGTTTCCGCATCGAATATTTGTGGTCTTATACATACTAATTGTAGCGGTATTAAATAAAATTATATAAATGGATTAGGTAACACTAATATAATAAACTTTCATTTTGTAAATAAGTACAAAATTATGAGCGTACTTTCGATAGTCGTTTCTGCAAATAAATAAAAAGATTGTCTCAAAGGAAAATCCTGAAATGGATGTGTCCGACATATCGACTGTTCAACCCTTATCAAACATAAGACATTATGGAGCCATTCGGTTAGTAAATAAAAATTTTATCAACAGAACGTCGAAGCGTCTTTTCTGCTTTATATAACTATTTACTTTGGTACCCAACATTCTTCTAATTATATCAGTTTATCTAGCGTAACCAAAAAATGTATTAAGATTTTAATTAATTAATCACATGTAATAATGACAAAAATATTATCCCGTAATATTTTACATACACGGTATCACAGCAAAAAAAAGTTAAAAAATTGCAGGACGAAAATAATAGTTTTAATTGAACGTTAGCAATATAGGTGACATTGTGACTTACCCTTTTTTTTTAATTAATAATATATCAAGAAACTATAAATTTAATTATCTTGTCATGTATCATATTTATGAATATATTCATTAAACTTCTTACAAAGTATTTAACTAGAAAACATCTATAGTAATATATTATTCCATATTCAGATTATTTAACATAAGTGCACCTTTGAACTTATTGTATCTTTATACAAATATAATAAATACGAAGGATTTTCCTCTTTGTTATTTTTTAATGGATAAACTCGCACTATACTGAACCGTATTAAATAAAAGTTGAAAATATATACTATACAGAGCAACGTTATCAGTGAGTAATATAATAATAAATTTTCGACGCAAAAAATAATTATTTTATTAAGCAAACAAACAAAACATTTGTAAATTCTATAGAGCAATCTTTCGCTTCGTTTAGATCTGCTTTCGTACAACATGATATGTAATCATTAACTGAACATAATACATTAATTAACGACCATGACAGTATAATATGCAATTACATGGCTCGCAGGTCAAATCTCATTAATTGGCGCAATGAAGCTGAATAATAGAAAATCATATACTGACAGGACATTTCATGACCTCGGTGATCTAGCGATTTAGCACACACTGTTCTCACACCGCTCCAATCATCCCTCGTCTAAATTAAATGGGGATCGAAATTACGACGGCCCGAGTCGAGGTTCGAACCCCTAAGTCCTCAGACTAAAGTCGTATCCGTCAGATGTCCAGTCACTCCATAAGTCCTTCCACGGGTTTAGAGTGCTTTCTGCACTCGCCCCCTGTCCTACGGTGAAGCTGTAAAGGCCAGCATCATTAGAGTAAATCGAAAAAAAATTACTCTCACACTCACTTCGTTTTATCACTCTCGGGTTTGACTCTAGCTCTAAACAAACATTTGTATTCTTTAGTATGATTTATTCGTCTCGTTGTACGTACTAAAAAGTATTTAAGGGCTTCATCGGTTGTTTATTACTCGTAATATAAGCTCTGCTTAGTTTGAGACTAGATGGCACGGCTATTATTATTTTGTAGTTATTAGCTTTTTTGTATATTACAATAGTTTATTGTATAATTGACTGATGGAATTTTAAACCTATATAAAGAAAAGATGCACTACAAAAATAATTACAGCTTTTTTATGACCAATGTTATAAACAGCATACAACCGGTAAGAGATTAGTGCACTGTTATAGAATGAGGACGGGAGAAGAAATGAATACAACATCGTAGTAGCTGATGCAACTATATTGGATCGACTTCCATGTGGTCTTGGTAAGTATTGTCGTCAATTTCTCAATTTCTATTTGTTCCGTATTCCGAACCTCCTTAGTCTAAGCAGGTTGTATTATCGGCTTGCTTAATGAATCAAAGGGCGCTTGGTAATACTGGCCACAAATAAATACATGTGGCCACTAAAATTTTGAAAAAAGAATAAAAATAACAATTGAAAATAAGAACTGGAATAAAGAGGACGCTCCGTATTTTTAACTATATAAAACAAGATAATTAATGATTTATTTAACATAATATAATTGTTTTTATGAAAATATATACTCTAGAATGCGTGGCCATTACACAGTACTTCACATCGGGACGTTCCTGAGCAAAGGTGAGTGTTACATTGCTTACTTTGGGGTGTTCGGAGTGTGGAAGACGTTCTTCCAGGTCGAAATCGTATTTCTACTTCCTTTTCCAATAATTATTTTCTTTTCAATAAATACAGTCCACTCTCTATTTTATATATTATTTTATAAAGATTCGTAATCCAACACTATTCCTATTCTAATCCTATTATAATATACTACTATTTTCCCCGCACAACATAAAACCCTATCATACTGCTATCTAATTCCTCGAATCTTATATTGAACAATTCAGACTACCTAATTGTTTAGCGTTAGATAACAAAATGAACTTGTAGTAACTCATCAGAATATCCATTTAGTAGCAATTGCTTCAATTCACGTCGAAGCGTAGCGTCCTTTGTACAGTTAATTTACTTCGGTTAATTAGCTTTCGAGGTGTTGTCGTCTTGTTATTGAACGTCAAGCTAATTAAACCGATAATGATTTGTTTTACACCCCTTAGTGTATAAATTTGGTTCGAGTCTAAATTAAACTATTTGTGTGAATAAGTCTCTTAAAGGTGCTTACATACTACAATGATTTTATTTCATTATATTCTAAATTCGTATATACCTATAGTCATATAGGTATATTCTCTTATGAATTAATGTACATATATATGATATTGTAATTAAAAATAGATTTCTAAGTTTTTGTCACAATATCTAACAAATTAATTGTATAAATATTTACAAATATTGCAATATAACACCAATTTTATTACATAATTTAAATGTAAAGTAAATCTATGAGGTATGCAATAAAAATGTTTATAGCATTTCATATAATCTTAGAATCATAAGATAAACTATGTTGAGTATGTAATTTTGG